AGGAGGGGGGCACCGGCCCCGGGTGCGCGGCACTTGGGGGGAAACGCCAGCCCCGTGTGCGTGGCGCTTGGAGGGGGCGCTGGCCCCGGGCACGCAGTGTTTGGGGTGGGCGCCGGCCCCGGGCGCGCAGCGCTTGGGGGCGCCCCGCTCTCAGGCACGTGGCGGGGGGCCCTCCCCACCCCCGGGCGCGCAAGTGTCCCTGCCCTCTGGCGCCCGGCGGGCGAATGGCCACGCCCCCTGGCGCCCGGCAACCTCCAATGGTTGGGGACCACTGACCTAGATGAATTGATATACCCTCTGGAACACTTCTACATACCCCTCACTGAGAACCATTGTCCTAGGACAGGAGTGGGCAATAATTTTTAAAAGGGGGCCACTTCACAAATTTCAGAAATGTCTGCAGGCTGACCCAGAAGGAGCTGGGCCTCGGGCAGAAAGGACTGGCCGTGTGCTGTGAAAAGATGCCGCCCTCCTGGCTTGGGAGCTCAGAGCAGGAGGCCTCTACTTCCTCCAGCAGCTGGGTGCCTATTACACAACAAAGTAATTAAAATGTAATTATAATTAACTGGATACAACCTTAGCCAAAGATTATCATAGAAGGCAACACTTGTTAAAATGTGTACTAAGACTAACATTTTGAGAACACTTGTAACATTTGGAATAACTACAACATTAACACTAAACATAGGGTACTGAAAATGATTAATACTTAGTCCTGCCATGAGTGTAGGGGACTAAACTAAATGACTTTGAGGCCCCTTCCAGACCTATGATTCCATGAAATAGTATCAAAGTCCTTGTTTTTCCTCCCACCCACACTAAGTATATTCAATTAGGTCTTATGGGTTACAAAAGATTCCCCCACTTGACTATAAAAATGGCATCTAGGTATTTTTTATCAAAACCAGTTATAAAGAAATTGGTTGGTTATTGGGCAATTCGAAGGGATCCTGTGTCTCTGGCAACAGCAACCTAGAGGTGTGGGGAACTGCGAACCCTTTCAGCTGTTTCTATTTAAAGGGCTCTTGTGTTCCCCACAGCTGCTATTCAGTGTGTTGCCTGACAGGCAAGGGGCCAGCCCTTTAAACAGAAATAGCTGAAAGGGCTCACAGCTCGCCCTGCCAGCCCTTTCCACTGTTGCTATTTAAAGAGCTTGAGTCTGTCCCGTTGCTGCTAGTCAACACGTTACCTAGCAGCCCCTGGGAACAGGCGAACACTTGGAATAGAAACAACTGTAAGGGGTTGCAGCTCCCCTGCCTCCAGTGCATTGCCAGGACCATGATCCCTTTCAGCTGTTTCGTGGGCTTGCAGCTCCCCTGCCTCCAGTGCATTGCCAGGACCATGATCCCTTTCAGCTGTTTCTATTTAAAGGGCCGGCCCCTTCCCTGTGCCTGTCAGGCAACCTGTTGCTTAGCAGCTACAGGGAATAGGAGAACCCTTTAAATAGAAACAGCTGAGAGGGCTCGCAGCTCCTGCCTCTAGCACCTTGCTAGGAAGCCAGAGATGCCAGCCCTTTCAACTGCTTCTATTTAAGGGGCCTGCACCTTCTCCCCTGCTGCCCAAGGAAGCGGTTAGAAGGGCTCTTGCCCCTCTCCTACTTGAGGCAATGAGCTAGGGGGCGGGGCCGGATCCAGCCTTCTGAGAGACTTTTGCCCACCCGGTCCTAGGAGAAGGAACTGCTGCAATGTCCCCTCCTACTCTGACTCGCTTGAGTGCGTTGTTCATGGACTGCAGAAGGACCCACACGCAGCACTTTCTTCTACAGAGTTGTTGCCTTCAAAGGTGAAGAGAAATGGGCTCTGTGTGTGTGCGCGCACACATATCAGCCTCGCAATAAGGAACCTCTTGTTTGAGAAAACTGACCAGTTTATACTAAGGGTCATAGAATGATTTTGTTGTTGTCAGAGGCTATGGACTTTCTAAATGGTCAGGTTAGATGATGATTGTTTACTCGTTACTGTTTAGTGCAATAAATATACAGTAAACTTCTGATAATCCGGCACCTTTAGGACCCAGGGGGTGCCGGATTATCAGATATGCCGGACTATTGGAAGAGGGGGCTATGAGGGGTCTGGGGTGGGGTGGAGGGGATGCCGCCCCAGCCCGCTAATAGCCCCCCCTTCCGATAGTCTGGGTCTGGCCCAC